CCCAGGTTTGTTACCGGCAGAAAGCGGCCTGGGCATACCTTTCGCGGTGTCATATGCGTTTCTCCCTCGACTGCCCTCCGAGGCGCTCGTTATCCAACGAGCCGCCTCGCACGCCGACGCCTCGCAACGGCGCGCTAGTCTGTTCGCTGTCGACGAGGCCGCCGTTTTTCATTCGCCAGTCGAAAGGCGGGCGACGATCATGCGCGAGTGCTGGTGCAATCGTTCTCGCGCCCCGTGCCCCGTGCACGCCCTGGGCGTGTGGTTACTTTCTCGGCCCGAGGTTGGCGCTCCGTGGGCTGGCTGGCGCGCCGGGGGCGTCCGTCGGGCGCTGCGCCGCGCGGGCGCAGGCAGCGCCGACGCCTATGGCGCACGCTCGGTCAGAAGGGGCCATGCCCAAGACATCGTCGCGATCGGCGGTTGTGTGACCGATGTCCTCAAGGCCGGTGACTGGCGGATGCCGGCATGGATGCATTATCTTGACGTGGAAAAGTTGGACCAAACAATCGCAGAAGCGCATGTCGTCGCGTCGTCCAGCGACGACGAGCCTGGGGCAGGGTCTCTTGCGGCGTCCAGCGACGCCAAGCGCATGGTCTGCGCCGTTTCGGTCTCGCCTGGTCCCCTCGCGCTCGCTCGCTCGCGTGCTGCGTCGCCCGCTACCTCGCGCGCTGCGCGCTTTTCTCTGCCTGGTATTGGGTCCTGCGCGCCCGCTCGGTACCGCGGGCCCGCGGGGGCAGCGCGTCGGCCCCTGCGCCTGGGGCCGCGGCGTTGGGCATGGTGCCCATGTGCTTCGGCCGGCACCCTGACGTGCCACCCGCCAGCGTCGGTCGACGTGGCGGGTTGGGCGCGCCGCCCGCCAGCGACGGTTGGCGCGGCGGGTTGGCGATTCGACGCAGGGGCGCCCGGCCGTGGCCTTCCCTCTTGGGTGGCATCGCCCTCGAGCGTCGCCGCGATGGAGACTTATGGGGCGGCTAAAACTTGTAATTGCAAGTCGTAAGTCGATTGGCGCGGGGGGGGCGCTTCGCCGGCGTCGCAGGGCGCGGCGGCGGGCGGCTGCGCGACCGCCCGCCGCGCGCCGCCGCTCCGTCGGGCGGGCAGGGCCCCCGCGCGGGCTTGCCGGCATGCCGCGCGGCCGTGCGTCGGTGTCTTGCTCGCCCCCTTTCCTCTGAACGCCCGACATGGGCACTGAAAGAATGGGTACGTTGCCCAACAGCAGTTCCTGTTCATTTTGAACAGGACTCGCTGTCCGCGCCGCCGCGGCCTGTGTCCATTCGAGACAGAAGGCCGCCTGCCCAACAGCGGCCGCTGTTGGTTTGGGACAACATTTGTTGTTGGGCATTGTACCCATTGTTTCCGTACCCATGTCGGGTGTCCAAATTTCCGAGCGCGGTCGACATGTCTCCGCTCTGCCGCCTGGCCGCGGGGTGGGATATCTTGTGCCCGGTCATGGCTGCGGCGCCCTACTTGCCCATGGTGGCTGCCTGGGGGTAGGGCGTCCGCCCGGGGTGTCGTCCTCTGCTTGCCATGGCGCAACTTTGGCTGACCTCTGGGGCGACGCGCGGTGCGTCCGCTCGCCATAGTGCGTCAGGCGCGTCCGCGGTCGCGGTTTCGTTTTGTCCCGCCCGCCGCCCTCGAAAGGGGCGTGGCGCCCGTGTGCTTCGGCCAGCGCCCTGACGCGCCGCCCGCCGGCGTCGGTCGACGTGGCGGGTTGGGCGCGCCACCCGCCAGCGCCGGTTGACGTGGCGGGTTGGCGATTCGACAGAAGGGCGTCCGGCCGCGGCCTCACCCGACGTCGAGTGGGTGCCGTTCTTCCCTCTTGGGTGGTATCGTTGTCGAGCGTCACCGCGATGGAGACTTATGGTGTATATGTATTGTTTGTGTGTGTATACTTGTATGCATGTGTGCATGTATGCATGTACTTACGCATGTCTGTATGTAGGTAGGTCGGTCTGTATGTATGCCGGTATGCATGTATGTAGTGATGTGGGCATGTGTGTATACAGGGATGTATGTATATATGTATATATGTGTGTATATAATGTATATGTTTGCATGTATGTATTTATATATGTACGTATGTATGGATGTACATACAAATATCGTTGTGTCTATGTATATGTGTGTGTATGCATATATGTATGTATGTATGTATGTATGTATGTATGTACGTATGTACGTATGTACGTATGTACGTATGTATGTGTGTATGTATGTACGTACGTATGTATGTTTGTATGTACGTACGGGTGTGCATGTCTGCATGCATGCATGTATGTATGCATGTGTGTATGTACGTATCTATGCATGCGTATTCAATGTGCATATCGTATTTCCATTCCGTATATCACAATATGTATGTACACGTATATATATATATATATATATATATATATATATATATATATATATATGTATATTTAGGTATGTCGATACATACGTACATATCCCCGTTGACGGGGACTGGGGACCCGCGGCCCGGGGCTCGACAGCGCATGGCGGGTCCGGGGGGCCCAGAGGTGCTCCAGTCGCGAGTTGGGGCTCTCGGGGCGCTCCTGGGTCTTTAGAACATCAATTCCAGACGCCCGTGGTTGTCTCCATGTGGCCCGTCATGCTCCAAAGGCGTTCCGCGAAGGTCTCCACACGGCTCAACGCCCCCCGGACGCTCCAAGAGTGTCCCCAGACGGCCCTTTAGAGGGCCCCGAGAGGCAAACATCATGGGTTTTCCTTCGGCTTTTGATGCTATGTTGGGTTTCCGCCTTTTCGGCTTGCCGGCTCTCCAACCCAGCCCCAGAACCACCACCACCCGCTTCAAGACTGTTTCAGAGTCTCCCCCCAGGGGCGCCCAAGGCACCCAAGAGGCCCCAAAGCCGACCCAAGACACTTCCAGGACTGCCCCAAAAGGCACCGGAGTCGCCCCCGAGCCGCTGGAAAATCACTCCCAGACGCCCGTGGTCGCCCCCAGATGATCAACCACGCTCCCGAGGCGCCCCGCGAAGACTTCCAAACGGTTCAATCCGCCCCCCAGACGCTTCAAGAGGGTTCAAGACGGCCCCTGAAGACGGCCCGAAGAGACAACATTCAGATGTTTTCCATCGGATCTTCCATGTTTTTTTCGCCCCCGCCTTTTCGGCACGCGGACGGTCCAAACCAGCCCCAGAAGCACCAACACCCGCCCAAAACGGTTTCATAGGCCCCCCCAAGGGCACCCGCACTGCCCAAGAGGCCCCCAAACCGCCCCAAGACACCTCCATGACATCCAGAAAAGGTATTGAGTCGCTCCCGAGTCGCCGGAAGATCACTCCCAGACGCCCGTGGTCGCTTTTAGATGGCCCACCACGCTCCCGAGTCGATCCACGAATGCTCCTAGGCGGCCCGAATCGCCCCCGCAGACGCTCCAAGAGGGTTCCCAAACGGCCCCTGAAGAGGGCCCCAAGTAGGTTTTCTCAGTTTACTTGTGTTTTTGAGGGTTTCCGCCTCTTCGGCTTGCCGACGCCTCTGCTCAGCCCCAGGTGCACCACCTGCCCGCTTCACGATTCCAGGGGCTCCCCCCAAGGGCGCCCGCACCGCCCAATGGCCCCAACGCCGATCCCAAGACACTTAACGAACAGCAGGGGCGCCGAGTCGCCCCCGAGCCGCCAGAACATCGTGCCCAGACGAACGCGGTTGCATGCGGACGGCCCACCATTCGCCGAGGCCCTCCACGAAGGTTTCCAGACGGCCCAGCCCCCAGACCCGCCCTCGGGGTGAGCGTCCAGCGGAAGCGCTCTCACCCCGAGGGGGAAGGATGGGGGAGAAGGTGAGGCGACGCGCGGCGCAGCAGAGAGGAAGCGAGGGCCCGACGCCACAGGAGAGTTCGAGGAGAGACGCGACGGCTGACGTTCGGGGGTCCTGGGCCCAGGAGTAGGGGAACGAACAATGACGTAAACGCAACAACCCAGACCTCCCAGTTTTTATGTTCATGTCATTGCTCGTTCCCGTAACGAGGGGCCTGGCCAGGATCGGTGGTGGTGTGCAGCCCGCCCAAGGCAGAGGATCGGAGGTCTGGAGGAGCCGAGGGTCGCGGAGCCGCAGATGCAGCTCTGACGGCGGCGTTCCGAGGCGGCCGTTCGGGCGAGCTCGTGCTGGCTGTCCGCGCGCGGTGGAGCCGCGGGGAGCGCGGGTGTCCCGCAGGAGGGACAGGCAGATGATGATGACGATGATGATGACGATGATGATGATGATGATGATGATGATGATGCTGCTGATGATGATGATGACTATTAGTAGTATTACTAGTATGATGATGATGATGATGATGATGATGATGATGATTCTGGTGATGATGATGCCGATGACGATAATCATGATTATGAGGATGACTATGCTGATGCTCATGATGACGATGGTGATGCTGCTGATGATGATGATGCTGATGATGCTGATGCTGCTGCTGCTGATGCTGATGATGATGATGATGATGATGCTGATGCTGATTATGATGCTGATGCTGATGATGATGATGGTGGTGGTGGTGGTGGTGAGGATGTTGATGAGGATGATGATGGTGGTGATGATGATGACGATGGCGATGATGATGGTGATGATGATGATGATGATGATGGTGGTGATGATGTTGATGATGTTGCTGCTGCTGCTGATGATGATTATGATGATGATGATGCTGATGATGATGATGATGATGATGATGATGATGCTGCTGCTGATGCTGATGCTGCTGCTGATGCTGATGATGCTGATGCTGATGCTGATGCTGATGCTGATGCTGATGCTGACGCTGACGCTGCTGCTGCTGCTGATGCTGATGCTGCTGCTGGCTGCTGCTGATGATAAAGCTGATGATGGTGGTGATGATGACGATGATGCTGATGCTGCTGGCTGCTGCCGCTGATTACGATGATGGTGGCGATAATGCTGATGACAAAAACGACGACGACGACGACGACGACGACGACGACGACGGCGACGACGACGACGACGACGGCGGCGACGACGACGACGACGGCGACGGCGACGCGCAGGGAGGGCAGGCTGGGTGTAGGCAGCTCCCATGGGGAGCCCCGCAGATTGTCGACCTGGCGGCGGGCGGAAAGGCACCTGAATGAGGTGGCCCAGCGCAGATTGCCGCAGGTGCGCAGCCTGGAGGGCCAGCCCTGGCCTTCCCTTCCGGAGGCACCTCACTTAGACAGTCGCGTAGAGAGGCTCTGCCTCCTCCTCCTCCTCGTCCTCCTCCTCGTTCTCCTCCTCGTTCTCCCCCTCTTCTTCCTCCTCCTCCTCCCCCCACGCCCCACTTTGCCAGTTGGCATTATGGCGGCCTTCTCTTCTGTGCGCTCTGAGCATGTGGCTCTGCTCTCTCTCTCCGCGGGCGGTGTTTCGCTTCAGCGCCAGCTCGTTTTTTACGCGAGTGAGACCGCGGGCGACGGGCGGGCCGGACCGTCTCGGGCGGTGGCGGTGCAGCACGATTTGCGCCGGCTGTCTGGCCCAAGGAGGCTTCACGGTTTCACACGGACTGAACACCAATCTCATCTTGCCGCCTTCGCAGGACGAGCATCAGTGCGTTTTTTCAATTTTTTGGTGTGCCACTAGGATTGGTCGACTGGCCAGAGTAGCGGATCGATCGCCCTTCTCCTCCTCCTTCTCTTTTCCCAAGGTTGAACGATCTCGGGACCATGCTTCCATAACCTTCGCGCAGGCACCCATCTTAGAGATGGCTGCTCTCGTGTCCACCTCAGATGCGGCCTGTTCTTACCATTCTCCTTCTACGGTGTGCATCCTATAAAAGAAATCGGCATGCGATCAGGTGCCCTGCGGGCACTTGTTGTCCCCTGATGGCCCCAGGGACCCACTGAAGCTCTGGGGCACCTTGCGTATAGCAGGATCTCGTATCGTATGCGTCTTCTGTGCTCCCCTGACGTTCCGTGAGTCCAGACACTAGCACCGCTGCGTTTGAGTTGAAACTCCCGTCGAGGTCCTCAGCAGTCCCAAACGGCACGGCTGCTGACGGCACTACCCGACCACGTGCCCGAGGGCAACAGCACATGGGCGTCCTGAGGCACAAGCGCAACGCCGAGTTCGATCCGATCGGAGCCCTCCCCTCCCTCCTCCCCGTTCCGCTCCGCAGCGGCCTGGGACGTGCCTGTCAGTAGAGGAGGTCGTGCACAGGAGATGGAAAATGGTGCGGGGCAGCGCATGAGTGCAGACGTCACTCTGGAGGCGCCCCGATCTATTGGACCCAGCTTCCTTCGAAGGAGGAGGAGGAGCAAGAGTGAAGGGAGGATCTCCCCCTCCCTCTCCCCTCCTAGTCTTTCTCCCCTTCTCTCCCGCCCCTCCCCTCTGCTGCCTGCGCTGGACTTTTTTTCGCGGCGCGGTCCCCCGAGGATCTCGCCCACGCCCCCTGGACCAGGCCTTTCTCCCAAGCCTGTCCTTGAATTGCCCGGGGGCCCGGCAAGAGCCTCAAAGTGGATTATCCCAGTGCGAGCCTACCTAGGAGTTGGAGCCCCTAGGAAAGCAGCAATAAGTAGTAACAGTAAAGCTAAGCTAAAGCTAAGCTAAAGCTAAGCTAAAGCTAAGCTCAAGCTAAGCTAAAGCTAAACTAACGCTAAGCTAAAACTAAGCTAAAGCTAAGCTAAAGCTAAGCTAAAGCTAAACTAAAGCTAAGCTGAAGCTAAGCTAAAGCTAAGGTACAGCTAAGCTAAAGCTAAGCTAACGCTAAGCTAACACTAAGCTAAAGCTAAGCTAAAGCTAAGCTAAGGCTAAGCTAAAGCTAAGGTCAAGCTAAGGTCAAGCTAAGCCAACGCGAAGCTAACGCTAAGCTAAAGCTAAGCTAACTTTCAGCTACAGCTAAGGTAACGCTAAGCTAACTCTAAGATAAAGCTAAGCTAAAGCTAAGCTAAAGCTAAGCTAAAGCTAAGCTAAAGCTAAGCTAAAGCTAAGCTAAAGCTAAGCTAACACTAACCTAACACTAAGCTACAGCTAAACTAAAGCTAATCTAAAGCTAAGCTAACGCTAAGGTAACTCTAAACTAAAGCTAAGCTGAAACTAATCTACAGCTAAACTAACGCTAAGCTAAAGCTAAGCTAAATCTAAGCTAAAGCTAAGCGAAAGCTAAGCTAAGTCTAAGGTCAAGCTAAGCTACATCAAAGCTAAAGCTAAGCTCAAGCTAAGCTACAACTAAGCTAAATCTATGCTACAGCTAAGCTAAAGCTAAGCTAGCTCTAAGCTGAATCTAAACTAAACCTAAGCTAAATCTAAGCTGAAGCTAAGCTCAAGCTAAGCTAAAGCTAAGCTAACGCTAAACTCTAAGCTAAATCTAAGCTACAGCTAAGCTAAACCTAGCTAAAACTAAGGTACAGCTAAGCTGACGCTAAGCTAAAGCTAAGCTACATCTAAGCTAAAACTAAGCTAACGCTAAGCTACAGCTAAACTAACGCTAAGCTAAACCTAAGCTAAAGCTAAGCTAAAGCTAAGCTAAAGCTAAGCTAAAGCTAAAGCTAAAGCTAAAGCTAAAGCTAAAGCTAAAGCTAAAGCTAAAGCTAAAGCTAAAGCTAAAGCTCCCAGGGGACTGGGGGAACCGCGGGGCGGGGACCGGGGGAACCGCCCGGGGCGGGGCCCACTGCCCAGCCCCTTTAAGCAAAGAGAGTAAGAACCCTCTAGGCAGAGCCTAGGTAGGGAATGAAACAAATGCAAGACATCGTGTGGTCGTTTTCTTATTCATTGCTTTGCCGATCGGCACGGGCCCTCGCCCCCCCTCCCCCCCCATGGAGTAGATCTTGGCTGTTTTTTGTTTTTGGCGCCTGTTTCGAGCGGAGTCTCCCCCATGGGAAGCACTGCTGCACACAATCGCATTACAGACGTCGGAACCAGACCCCCCCTCCCCTTAGGCCCAATGTTGAAACGCCGAACAAGAATATGTTCACCATCCGTCGTGCCGTCGTGTCTTTGCCCACCACGCGATGAGGGGAGTCCAAGTGCGGGGGCCAAGCATCGACCCCTGAACCCATCCAGTGGTCACCACCTCACTGGAGGCAGCGCCGTTCACGTAGACTTTCTATCAGCGCCGCGGAAGCTGGTGAAGATGGGAGAGGGTCGGCAGCGTCCCTTCTCAGCTCCGTGGGCTCTGCTGGCGAGACGTGCCCACGGGCACCCTGCAGCACGATCTGCCGCGACAGATGCTGCACGATGCACGGCGGACTGCTACCCCCTGGGCGCCGCCGCGACCGCCCGCCAACCGGGGGGCTCACCGGCCCGTCCGAGGGCGGCAGGGCCGACAGGAGCCGAGAGCGCCATCCACGGGCGCTGGCGCCGGGGAAAGCCGGAAGCCGTGGCAACATATTGTTTCAGGAGGGAAAAAACACACAGACACATTTTATCGTCGATCCCCCAGAAAATATGGGAAAATATGGGAAGTGGGGGGGAAGACAGAAACCCAGAAAATATGGCAAACTATGGGGAAATCTCTTAATCTGTGTGTATTTATTTTTTGTGTGTCCTGGGGCCCCTTCATTGCTGTGTCGCCACTGCTCCACGGCCTCGGGGCGCACGTCTCCTCCGGGGATGGCCCTCTGGAGGCCCTCCGCCCGCGCCGCCCGCCTCCGCGGCCAGTGGCGCGGCGGGAGAGGCGGCGGGCTCCTGGAGCGCACGGGGCCGCGCGCCCCGCTTTTCCCCGTGGCGGCGCGGGAGCCCCCGCAGTGCGGGGGGCGCGGCGCGTGGGCCGAGCAGGACTCGGCACGCCTTCAAGGGCAGCTCGAGCCCAGGAGCCCTCGCGCCTGCGCGGCCACCCCATCCCTCCAGTCCCTCCCTTCATGGGCTTGTTTTCCACCACCACGACCATAAGTTGGAGGGGGGAAGGAGGCGGAGGAGGAGGAGGAGGAGGAGGAGGAGGAGGAGGAGGAGGAGGAGGAGGAGGAGGAGGGGAGGAGGAGGAGGAGGAGGAGGAGGAGGAGGAGGAGGAGGAGGAGGAGGAGGAGGAGGAGGAGGAGGAGGAGAGGAGGAGGAGGGGGGGGGGGGCACTCCGTGCTTATGGGGGCATTCGGCACGGACATAGATCAAGGCGCAGGTTCTCCACCGTGCTCGGCCGCTGCTGGCCCCCACCAGGCACTAGGACCGCCACAAAACGAAGCGGGACGAGAAGCCGGCCCTGGGGGTGAGTCGGGCATGCCCTTCTACAGGAGGAGTATCCCAAAAAGAGTATAAGACAATGGTCTGGGGACGATCGTTTTATATTGAACGTACCATTCCTGACTATTTTGTCTTTGTTTGACTATTTTTCGTTTTGCTTCCAAAATCCGCCTGGAGGAGGACATGCCCGACCTAACCCTGGGGAGGGGCTCAGGGCTTGCGGGGGCCCCGTGCCCCGAGATCCGACGGGCTGGATCGACCTGTGGGCGCGCCGGGGCCCGAAGCTGGGCGAAGACGCCCGTTGTGAAAAAGTGGCAGCGCCAGGAATATCTCAGGGGTGTCTCGCGAAAGTGCCAGGGCACCGGATGGCCGGGTTCGGCGGCTGTTTCTGCCGCCTCCAGCCCCGTCTTGTGGCAGCCTCCCGGGCTCGCAGAGCTCGGAGGGGAGGCGGGGCCCCGCGATGGTCGGCCCGCCAGAGGGCCCGGCCACGCTGGGGGCCGATGGCCCGCCACGAGAATAGGTCTCCTTCTTCTCGGAGGCCCGAGAGCCAGCGGTTCATACCCTGAGATCCGACGCTGTGAAACATCGCAGCACCGTGAGCAAATCCCCGCGGCAGTCAGGGGCGAAAGAAGGACGTGCGCGTACACGAATCAGCGTTGGTTTCGAGAGTATGCATTGCGCAAGCGTTGGTATCTTGCGGTTGGTCTCGTGAACTGGGGGGCCGTGTTTATGTATGTGGTTGGGCGCGTACATCTTTTGTGTGCTCCTAAAACAAGAGCCCTAGACCCCATCTGTCTGCGGTATCTTCGAGCGAGATTGGTATCCGTGATGGCCCTGGGGCCTGAAACTGGGCGAAAGCACGCCCTGCTCGAGCAATTGCAACGCCAGG